GCCACTGGCCACAGAATCCGCGTGATGCTGTACCCCTCAAGGATTTAAACTTATGAAAAGTAAATAAATAAAGGTGTAGAAAAAAAAAAAGAACATATGTATCAGACCTGTGTGAAAAATGTGGAATTTCAACTACTGGTCCTTTTTCTTTTTTTTTTTTTTTAAGATTTTATTTATTTGAAAGAGTGCACACATGAGGAGAGCTGAGGGAGAAGGTAAAGCAGACTTCCTGCTGAGCAGGGAGCCCAACACAAAGCAGGGCTTGATCCTAGGACCCTGAGATTATGACCTGAGCCAAAGACACTTAACTGACCAAGCCACTCAGGTGCCAAACTACTAATCTTGTAAAATCAGATCAGACCACCTGATGTGACATTAGCTCCAAAAACAAGTCCTTGAGACAACTGCCTATAGAAAATACTACACACTAGAGGAACATGTATACCTATACATCATTAACTAAAGAAACTAAGCAGTAAATCATTTAAAAATAGTTACATAGATAAACTTTTGTAAGTCTGATTAAGGATAGAGAAGGGATGTTATCAAAAATCTTACTGAGGACATGCTGTATCTTTGGGAACAGCCACCATGCATTTTGCAGTACAGATTAAAACATTAGCTAGCTAAACTATCAATCTCCTGAAGGCTTTCAATAAAATTACCAAATTCTGTATAGATCTAAAGAAGTTATCCTATAAACACACAAAGGAAATAAACTGGTCTTAGGACTGTAAAATAGTGCAAAAAACAGTAGGGAGATACCTCAAAAAATTAAAACTAGAATCATAACATGATCCAGCAATCCCACCTCTGGGTATATATCTAAAAGAACTGAAAGAAGGGTCTTGAAAAGATATTTACACACCTGTGTTCATGGCAGCACTATTCACAAGAGCCAAAAGGTAGAAGCAACCCAAACGTCCACTGAGGAATGAATGGATAAACAAAATATGGTATATACATACAACGAAATACTATGCAGCTCTAAAAAGGACGGAAATTCTGATGAATACTAGAACATGGAGGAACTTTGAGGACATTGTGCCAGATACAAAAGGACAAATACTGCATGATCCCACTTATATGAGGTCATCTAAAGCAGTTAAATTCACAGAAACAGGAAGCAGAATGAACCAGGAATTTGGGGGAGGGGAAAAAAGGGGGCTGTTATTTACTGGGTATTTAGTTTCAGAATTGCAGGATGAAAAAGTTCTGGAGATCTGTTGCATAAAAATGTGAGTATACTTAACACTGCTGAACAGTACAATTAAAAAGGTTAATGATGGTAAATTTTCTTACATGTTTTATACCACAATAAAAAAAAAAAACCCTGATTTATTCTCCCTCAGGATACATGTTGGATGTAGGCTGGATTCTAAAAATAACATGTCCTTTCCTGTCTAAATGTTAAACATAACTTACATTTATATAATTCCCTGTAGTTTATAGATCACTGTCAATCAGAAGCCACTTGATATCCATGACTTTGGAATACCAATAAAAGTTTACTATTCTTTTGTCTTAAACACCAGTGATGATACGTAAATAAGACTTGATTAATCAAGAACTAATTTTTCAATATATGACTTTTCAAGTCTCCTATTTCTTCTTTACCCTATTTTATTACTTATTTTTTTTTTTAAATTTAAGTCATCTCCAGGCTAGGTGTGGAGCCCGAAATGGGGCCTGAACTTACAACCTTGAGATCAAGAGTTGGACACTTAACCAACTGTGCTACCTAGGTGCCTCTCTATTTTATTTTTTCTAGCCATTTCTGTAATTACTACAGTTTCAATTCAAGATTAAGAGCAGTGAGAAACAATTCTAATTGTGGTCTGACAGATTACTGGAAGTAGTAGTTACCAGATTTGGCCAAAATCTGAAGTGAGGTTATCATTTATCTGTTTTCCTCCTTCCTTGTAGCATCTGCAATTCTCTTTCATTTAGAGGGCATATCTAATTGTGGTCCTGGCATACTGCTAAAAAGAGATGGGCATATAAGAATTCCTGGGAAGGCAAATAAAGAACTTGCTTCAACTCTATTATTCAGTTTTAGAAATATGCAAGTAAGACCACTGAAGTCAAATGAGATGCAAAAATATGTGTGCATACTGCTAAAAAGAAAGTCTTAACATAATTTTAAGTTTTAGGAGGACCAAAAAAATGGCTCTCTCATTTTATTAAGGGGAAAAATGAATCCTATCCCAGAATTAAGAAAGTTTTAACTAAAAAGATATATATCTAGATTTAGGTCCAATCAAAGATTCAGAGAATACATTTAGAATTTTAGACTTTTTTATATATAGACCCACAAAGTAAGAAGCAGAAAGAAGATAAGGTCTTAAGTATCTTGAGAATCATCTTAAGGTATTTCTCAGCTGGTTTTCCATCTTAAGGGAATGCTTTCAGATTTGTTTTAATAACTTTTAACTCCCGTTTATCCCATTCATGTACTTGATTCTGAAATGTTTATTATGGATTGCTTTTTTAAAATTATAAATCAGACTTTTTATTATTAACAAAGCCTCTTGGGCCCTAAAAGAGAGCAGATGGGATGATTAAGAACAGCAGCTGTTACATCAATGTCCAGTAAATTACATGCATACCATAAATTATTTTAAATTTTACAGGCCTCAGCTTCCCAATTTTTAATACCCCTCCGTCTCCAACCCCCAACAAAACAGAATATGAAGGTTCAATAAGATGCTACTGAAGTCATTAAGTGCCTACTTTGATGACTTTCAATTAATCAAATCAATCTTATCACTAGCTTGATTCTGATAAACTATATTATCCATTTCTAGAGTTAACAAATATAACTTTTCTAGCCATTAGATTCTCTCAGTTTTTTTTTTTTTGATTCTTAAGAATGATTACAGTTTACAACACTTGTTTCACAAGTATTTCACAGATACTCGAATTTAATGAGCACAATAATGGTAGGTGTAAATTCTATTTTTATTCACATTTTACAGATGAGGAAATCATACAGAATTATTAAGTACCAAACAAACAAACAAAAAAAGAATAATTAAGTACCTTGCCCAAGTAACAGAACCTGGATGGATTTAACTCAGCCTTCAAAGCCCATTTTTGTTTTATTCTTCAATGTTATTCCTTAAGATACAGAAGCACTGCAATCCCCTATTTTCTCATGTTGACTCAGAACTAAAACGTTTATGGGGATGTAATGTATTTAATGGCTTTTTAACAAGAAACTCACAGCGTAACTAGTGAAAAATCTTGGAGTCTTGTCTTCCTGAAGATTAACATCAAAACAGGCAGCTCAAGAAATGGCTTACAGGTGGCATTTTAATTTCGGCAGCAACTCAATTTTCCTGGATCAAAATCTAACTAAAAATCATTATGCTTTCTGTGGTAGAACAAGCTCATCCTGACTACTTCCTCCTCTCTTTGGTTGGAAATGAGGCAAAGTACTTTCACACAGTCTTGTAAGAGAAAAGTATTGATGCCTTTGTAAATAATCTAAGATCAGTCAAGTCACAGCCTCTTCAACTTCTTTTAGAAAACAACTCCTCAGCCTTTCAGGGCCCTTTTTGGAAAATAAATCATCATTTGCTTACTTGACCAGTCACTTTCAATGTCAGAGTTTCTGTTTTCAGATATTTGGCCTCAATATCTACCACCTCGGTAGTTATTAACAGTACCTCCTCTCTCCATGGCTTATGGGAGAATTACCAAAGGAAAAGACCAAGAATTTGTTGTAAATGATATGGAAAAACTAAATTTGCGGCAAGAGTTATTTCTTAGAATGACAGAGACTTCATTAGACAGTTTAAGCTGTTACATTAGCATCAACAAGTACTTTTTGAGCTGGGATTACCAATTCAGTTCCCTGATACAGTAGAGGGAAAATTCTAAAGATGTCACTCAAGAGATTTCCTAGACACTTAAACTCTGACATAAATGAAGCAAGCCTCAAACTTTTTCAGACACATGCTGCATAAAGAATTTAAAGCTGTTTTATTTAGTCACTTACACACTGAATAGCTACTACAAAGAGAAGTATTATCCAAGATAGTACATAAATTCCCAGACCTAGCACTTAAGTTTTCAACCTGGAACGAAGTGTACCAAGTGGTATGAGTCAGTATTCTTATAAAACAGCCCCAAATGTCTCCAATGGTTCCAGAACTGATAACTGATCTCCACATTCCACACATAAAGATCAGTTTTTCCCAACACCTCTTCTTAGAAACCTGGATATTACTAAGGGAAGCACCATTGCCTCCTCACATGGAGAGACTGAATCCCACGGAGGTACTCAGGCCCTTTAATATATCCCTTTAAAAGGGACAAAGCAAAAAAAAAAAAAAAAGCAAAAAAAAAAAAAATAAAAAATAAAAGGGACAAAGCTTGCTGTCTATGCAGTGACCTATCTGGCAGGGCTTTTTTTTTTTTTTTTTTTTTCCAACTGACTTGTCAGGATTTTCCTTAGAGATCAGAGGAGTCCATTTAGCCCCTATAAACTAGACCCAGAATGGGCCCCCGGTAATTAACGGGAAGTTCTGAGCTAATGAAAGGATTTGTGGGCGGGTCTGTCCTGAGCCACTCCAGGTAACACTATTTCATCCTCGGAGCAGTAAGGTTAGGGAAAGAAAAGTCTGCACCCCATCCCCTTATCTTGACCTATTAAATCAGGCCGGCGGGAAACGACCACAAAACAGCCTCGTGGGTCCTTAGGGTCACCACAAGGCAGGGCCAAGTGCCGGCCTGGGCCTGGGCGTCTCTTCGCTGTCAGGGACGTCGGTGGAGAAGCCACCACACCCCTCCTCGCTCCTCGCTGTCCGCCTCCGGGATCTGGAAGTCAGGCCCCTAGCGTCTTGGCACTCACTAAGGGCCCCAAGCCACGACTACCGTTACCATCGCAGGGTCTCGGCGGGCCCACTCTGCCCAGCTTCCTCGACCCCCGCTTAGGCTCTTCCCTTTTGGGGCGCCCGCCCGCCCACCGGCCGCCCCGAAGGGTGCGAACTCACGGCCGCCGCGGCGCCGGTGAAAATATCCTCCCCCTCGGTGTCGCTGTCCCCCGCCTCGGGTTCTGACCCCCCGGCCGCCCCTTCGGACTCCGGCTCCAGGCCGGGGAAAGGCGGAGGGAGCCTCTCCGAAGCGCTACAGCCACCACCACCCGACGCCATCTTCCTCCACCCGCGGCGGAAGCCGCAACAACAACTTTATAGACAGCGCCGCGAGCAAAACGTTCCAGAGGAACGAGGAGCGGGATGGTCGTGACCAACCCCGCGGGACGCACAGGGGGGGCGGGGCCTGGCCGCGGGGGGCGGGGCCGGCCGGCCCAACGCTCCTACCCATCAAATCCCGGCCCGACACGTGACGTTGAGATCTCAACCAACTGCGCGAGGGCCGGGGCGGGGAGGAGGGCACAAAAGGAGGAGCCAGCTAGGTAGCGGCGGCTCAGATTCTTAGGGCCCTTTGTGTTCCGGAGAGCGTTTGCCAACAGCGTTCTTAAGATGTTCGAATAAGGAGTCTGAAAACTCCTCTACGTGCCCCCTACCTATGCCACGCACGGTGCTCTCATTGAGATTCAGTAAATGGTTTTGATTGAGGTCTTTCCAAAAGGCGGCGGTAAAGTTTCATTCACTTTATTCTTTGGACAACATCTAGTTAGTTCATTCAAGAAACATATTAAGCACCTACTGTTTGCGTTGGAAATACAGAAAGAAGCTCCTGACCCACGAGGCACTTGATGGAGACACACACGTTAAATGAACAAATGCAACGGTGTTCGGTGCTGTAATCTGCTCTGGGCGCAGTGAAAGAGGGTATCAGTTACGCTTGGAGATGCAGGGAGGCCTCAGAGGAGGGGACATCTCGGCGTCCTAAATTTGGTTACAAGTAAGTCGGTGTTCTATCCTCTTAGTTGCCGTGGAGTGGAGTGGGACAGATGGCAGGGAAATTCCTAAAACCCTGAACACAATTTCCCTGGGACGTAAACTATTCCCTTGTTAACCTGGTGAGCCTAAAGTCTAATTCAGCCAGACAATAAACAAAACTTTATAAAGATAAACGGGATATGTTAGCATGGGAGTAATTCTGCAAAATGGGGGTAATTCTTCAAAATGATCCTTCTCAGTAGAGATGACATTTGGTAGCAAAGTCTGGTTTGTTTCTAATCGCAAATCGCTCAACTTCAGGGATTGGCTCCCTCCCAGGTCTATGAGCTGTTCGAGGGCAGAGGCCGCCTCCTATCTCTGTATTCTCGGCGTCTATAAATACACCACGTCTGGGAAAGTAAGTGCCCAATAAACGTTTGAGACTCGGAGGGAGGGGTGGGTAAAACTAACATCATCCACCTTGTTCCTGGCATTCACCACAGCCACGACCACCAGAGGACTTAAGACATTCTTTTTAGGATGATGATCTATTTGCAGTATGTCACTACTGGATATCCTGGGCCCAGGGAAAGCTCTTTCATTCTAAGTTGTCTCTGAAGGCGAATGACAGGATCTTCAGGTGGCCGTTGGGGAATTGTGCCGACCTCAGTTCCTCTGAAACGGGAAAAATCAAAAAGCCCTCCCCGGCCCGGCACCTAATCACCTAATCAACCTCATTGGACTCCCAACACCTTCCGTTTCACGGCAACGGAAACTCACTTCCGGCGTGACTAGGAAGTAAGAAGCGGCTCCCTCAGAGAAGTAACCGTAGACTCTCTTTGTACACGCTCCTCCAGCAAAAGAAATCAAGATCTCCTTTCCCCTACCTCTTGAGGATTCATTTTCAGCTCATCGGGGGCGCTGAATGAGGCAAACAGTGGCAGGTAACAGTTACCTATCGCCCCTTCCCCGACCTAGACTACAAATCCCAGAATACATCTCTGTCCCATATGTCCCAGCACGCAATGCACCTCACGTGCTGAAAGGAACCCCCCCCCCTTGTCCCGCCGAAACCGAGCAAAGCATGCTGGGGCTTGCAGTCTTTGCGGGGCCCTTCCCTAGGTCCTCCGCGCTGCTCCGTCAGGTCCCGCCTATATTCTGCTCCCCGGGATCTTTAGGCTTGTCTTGGCCCATTTGAAGACCAGGAAGTTGATAAATTGCGAGGCCCGCTGCTGAGAGACGGTGGCTCGGGTGGGACAGTCGCCAGGGATGGCGGAGCATGAGGATGGAGCGGGTGTCCGGGCTGCTCTCTTGGACGCTGAGCAGAGTACTGTGGCTCTCCGGCCTCTTTGAGCGGGGAGCTGCCCGGCAGCCCCGGATCATGGAAGAGAAAGCGCTAGAGGTTTATGGTAATTAATTTTACCCAGGGCAGCGTTTGGCGTTGTACGTGGAGATGGGGGGTAACGGGGGCCTCACCAGAGGGCTGGGGGTGGAGACCGGTTTTTGCTGGGTCTCGTCCGAAGCCTGGGAAGCCTTTTCTCCGGGGTCCTGAGTCACGCAGGAATGTGGATCTAAGACCTGGGCTCTTCCTAAACCTGGCGTTAGCCGAGTCTGGAGGTCTTAATCACTTCATTTCCCTTGACGGCCTTACGCCCTTCTGACCTTGTCAAGACTTCTGGGCAGAGCAGGCGTTTAGGGTGCTTGGTTAGGAAGCAGAGCTGGCCTGATGGCACTGCTTGGCCCCTAGCCCCTAGACACGCATTCCTTCTGCCACCACCGAGAGTACTGATGGGGACTGGCCTAAGGTCACAGCCGCTCTCTTGGGGGGAAAAAAGGGGGGTTTCTCCCCCTCCAAAAGCCCCCGAGAGAAGAGGAGAAAATGGGCTTCTCGTACCCCGGCCTAGACCTTATAGTTTCTTATCACTGCCAAGCCTGGCGTGCATAAACGAATACACACACACACACACACACAGAGTCACGAATTTTTTTGAAACCCCTGGGACCATCTTCATTGTACAGATGAGGAAACAGAAGGTTAGAATGGCCAAACAACCACCCAGAGGTCACTCTGCCAGTAAAGAAAAAGCAAAAACCAAAGCCGGTGTCTTCTGATTCCAAATTTCGTGCACTTTACACCATTTCACAATTGCCTTATGACTCCTTGTTTTTGGGCTTATGTAGTACTGTTTTTGAAGGCTAAAAAGACTGGCTCTAACTAATATTCAGTGATTCCTGCTGACTGAGGGTGAAAGATCTAACTATAAGAATACAAATAAAATGTGGGCAAGGATTATGGGCCAGTAGAAGGAGGCCAGGGTTAGAAAAGACCTTTGGAGCCAATCTAACTTACTCCTCTCTTGCTAGAGGCGGGACCTAACCCCAGCTAGATGATTGTGAGTGTAATGATCTCTACAAAACTGACATATTCCTGTCCTATCAGACTTCTGTCTATAGCACCTCAGGACAGAAGGGCACTTGGGGATACAGCTTTGGAAGGGGAATGATTCTTGTCCTCAAGTTTAATACCGGTGGAGACCTATACATGCAGAAGTGTACTTTTTAAAACAATTTTATGTAGTAGAAATCCATCTACCTGAATAAGAAATACAGAAATTCAGAGGAAGGTGAGATAGTAATCTCTGAGTGGGGGATCTGGAAAGACTTTATGGAGGAGTCACTTGAGTTAGGCCTTGAAGCGTAAGTAGGCTCTGGATATAAGGAGGGTAGAAAGTGTACTAAGCAGAGAAAAGGAAGCAAAAGTATGGAGATGACAACGTGTTAGGGAATGGCGGGGCCCCAGGATAGAGTTTGTGGTTAAAGAGTGGAAATGTGATAAAAAAAATTGTTTTAGATACCAGGTCAGAATTGGATACTGAAGGTGTAAATGTATAAAGTATGTCAGTGCAGATCTATAGGAGAATTTTCATCAGGGGAGTAATGTGAGAAGAGCAACATTGCTTTCTTTCTAAAGAAATAAATCCAGATCTCTCAAATCAATAGAAAACCAGAGAAGTTTAATAAGGGATGAGACTTAATTTCAGCTTTAGGTAGCATATAAAGTATATAATGCAGCTTGTGTGAATGAGCCTTACAGAGAAAATGCCTAAAATGAGGGGCAACACATTTCTTTTTTAAAAGCTGTGTGTCTGGGATCCCTGGGTGGCGCAGCGGTTTGGCGCCTGCCTTTGGCCCAGGGCGCGATCCTGGAGACCCGGGATGGAGTCCCACGTCGGGCTCCCGGTGCATGGAGCCTGCTTGTGTCTCTGCCCCTCTCTCTCTCTCTCTCTCTGTGTGACTATCATAAAAAATTTTTTTAAAAAATAAAAGCTGTGTGTCTCTGAGCCTCGTGGGTGACACAGCCTTGTGAAGAAGCAGCTTTGTCTTTTTTTTTTTTTTCCTGTCTTCATTTTCAAATTCTGTGGCTAATCAAGTGATAAGCCTAGAAGTTAGTTGTTGGGGGAGAAGGTGGAGCTTGACTTGTTTCTCCTAGTAGCATTTCTGATTACAGGGGTGCTATCGGTAATAGAACAAAACCTTAGGCTTAAGACATCACGCCCATCCTGTGTGAACTCCCTGTGCTCTCCTTTCTACCTCCTCATTTCTCTGTTGTTTCCCCTTTCCCATCTTTTTCTGCAACCTCAGAGGAGGAAGGAAATCTTGTCCTCTCCAAGGGGGACGACCTAGGCTCCCACATCCTTGGTCTCATTCCCTTCTGTTTATTTTGCCAGTCCCCCATCCTCCCTCCTATATTTTCACTCTTACTTACTCTATTTGATCTTTCCCTTTGGGCTCTAAAACATGTTTCAGTTTCCCTTACCCTTGTCATCATTGTTCTAGCTTTGTCTAAATCCGTTATCCATCCTTTGCCCTCTCCCTTCCTTGCCAGAGCCTAGGACTGCATTTTCAGTCCCTGCTTACTTCCACATTTGCAAGCTGGCTTCTGCCTTCATCTCTCTACTGAAACTGCTTTCTTACAGGTAATTTTCTGGGTGACAAATCCAAAGACTCATTTCAGCTCTCATCAACTTGGATTTTTCGCTGCATTTAATGTTATTAACATCCCCACACCTCCATCAATCTATCCTTGGGTCTCTCCTTTTACATTGGTGGTTCTGAGATTGAGCTGCCTATAAGAGCAACCTGAAGAATTTTTTTAAAAGGCTCAATGCCCAGTCCCTACTAGGAATCAATTAAATCAAGATCTTTGGGGGTTGGGTTTAGACATCAGTTTTTAAAGCAGTCCTGATGATTCCATTGTTCACCCAAGGTCGAAAACTACTGTTTTGCTCATTCTTTACAAATCTCAGGGATTCAACAACCACTCTAGCTTTGATACTCT